AAGCATGGGAGAAGCCAGAGAAAACAGCAAGAGCAGAGGGAAGGTGCAGGTTCAGGTTAAGGGAGCAGGGAATAGGGAGAAGATTACTGGAGAAAAAAAATAAGCAACAGGCCCTGGGTTGCAGGAATAGCTGTGGGGGTGCCCACAGAACAGTTTCAACCATCTTCATCATTTTTCTCAAAGCTTCATCCCTGATCTTTGTTGACCTTCTCCCACAAAATTACATCACACTTTATCAACTGCAGTTTATTACTATCCATGACCACCATGCAGGAAAGATGCCATAGCCAAAAGGTCAGTACAGTGTGTCCAGATATCACTGACAAGGACACACTGCTGGTCACAGGTGGTCAGTCCCAAGGTTCACAATGCCATGAATCAGGTACAAAATCAGGCAAGCACTGCCAATTCTGTGAACACAAGTACCTGGGGGATAACTCAGTCAGTGGAATGCCTCAGGTGGGGACCCTGTGTACCTGGGGCATGGATGGGACCCACTTACATGGGTCCACCCAGAAAGATAAGAGGACAAAAAGATTGGCAGAGGTCAACATACCCCATGTGAGAAAATCTTCCTGGGGAATCCAGTGTCATTGTGGTTATCACACAGAATCACTGACTTAGTTAACCTGAAGATATCAAATTGTCTCTCAGAGCTTTTGGTCATCTGTGAGGAGGAACTGAATGAATGAAATGGGACTGAGGAGCTTTGGTGGGGTGAGGAGACAAAAGTGCTATTATTTCTCCAGGACCTCTTAGACACCTGAGACCCTCCTCAATCCCTCAGCCAGAGCAGAGTCAAGTGTCTGTGAGAAGATGAGTATAGGGAGGCACTGATGGATTAGTCTTGCTGATGCTGAACTCACGAAGGCACATATTTCCATCTGACATACCAACCACGCCATATCCATGTATCACAGACACAATATAAATACTAGAGGCCTCCAATGAGTTTTCCTTTATCAAGCTGAGAGGAACAGTATTGAAAAGAATGGAGTGAGGCCTCCAACTGCCATAGAAGCAAGTCAGGATATGTTCATTTCTGCCTGTGGTATCTCAGGAAAGGACATTTATCACCTATTTTCCTCAGGTTCTTCAGTGTGAAACTGCAGTCATTTTGCCCCTAAGATTGTTAGGAATACAGTGTTAAATAATGTAAATCATGGAGTACAGCCTGGTACATAGTAATTCCTCAATGCATGTTGCTGTTGATATTGTTACTTTCTTCATACTCATGACATATTACTTTTCTCTTGCTGTGGTAACTCAGTGGGTGGAAGGTCTAGGGTGGGGACTCTGTGTACCTGGGCCATGGACAGGACCCAAGTTGCAGGGGTCCATGCAGACAGATAAGAGGACAAACAATTTGGCTCAGGTCAACATACCCTATGTGAGAAAATCTTTGAATCCTGGCTGGGGAAAACAACAACATTGGCATTATGACAAGAGACTCACTGAATTAACCAATATAAAAATATCAAGTGTTCCTTCAGGACTCTTGATCTTCTATGAAGAGAAACTGATGCTTTAAATGGGACTGAGGAGCTTCTGTGAAAACAGGAATAAGGGTCTTGACATATCTCCAGGGCCTGTTAGAAACGTGAATTGCTTGGCTCTTTGCCTCCTTTGTCCATCTCCAAAGTATCTCTGTTACCCTTCTTCTCTTGTTGCAACTCTCTCTAGCTGCACCTGGTGAAAGTTCTCTTTAAAAGTTCTCCATTTTTAAGCATTCATCATAAAATTGGGCCACCCAGATAATCCAGGATAATTCCTCAATACCCCCTCACCCACAGAAGAGTGTGAAATATAAAAAAACAAAGACAGTTTGAACAAGGTTTATTAAGTGGTTTATCTGTGAGCAGAGAAACACTTGGGCCCAAACAGCACGAAGCTCAGGCTCAGGGAGTGAAGACAAGGGTTTTAAAGGCAGTGAGGAAACTCTAACAAAGATGTTTTGAGTGACGGTTTTAAGCTCAAAGTTTTTAATTTGGGGTAGGGTTTATAAAAGTGAGGAAAAGTAATTCATTGGTTACTTTGGGATATTGCGTCTTTATGACTAGTTTGGCCTCTGCTGATTTAGTCTGAAGGATTTTAAACTTCCAAACTGATATAAACCAGGCTCGCATGTCCCAGAAACTCCCTAAGTGGTAGAAATGGTTTGCATTTAGCTGGTATTACTCACTCAATAGCACCACAGAAGAAAGGCCTGGCAATAGGCTTCCATAAAGATTTCAAGAAAACCCTTTGGAGCAGTTCTACTCTGTAACACATGGGGTCACCAAGAGTCAGAATCTACTCAACAACACAGACAACAACATATCCTGGGTTAGCACGTCCCAAAGTATTTCAGTATGTTATCTCTTGGGAGAGGTTTGACTTTACACAGGACACCTGGCATAAATTTGGTGGCTCTCTGAAAGACAGGCCTAGGAAAATGCTCAAGGTTACTGTTATGACAGCCAAAATTTATTTCTAGAGTTTGAACCTTTAGCTAGAGTCAAGCGGGTTATGTGTTTGGGCAGATGACAATGGAGAAGCACTGAAGTAACTATCTTCTGTGCTTAACCTCATAAAGCTCCTTATTTTCACCTAACCTGGCTGATGACACCACCACCATTATATCCAATGTTGCATGTAATATGCACCAAGGATAGACACTATACACTTGCATCAAGTTTCTGTTTAAATCACCTAGAGAAACAGTGTTGAAGAGGATGGAGACAGGCCTCCAGCTGCCCTAGGATCCAATCAGGACGCAGGCATTCCTGCCTGTGCTATCTCAGGATAGGACACTGATCACTTCTGCCCCTCAGGAGGTGCCCTGGTGGTGCAATGGCTGAAGCACTTGACTATTAACTGAAAGGTCAGCAGTTTGAACCCATCAGTTGGGAGAAAGCTGTGGCAGTCTGCTTCCATAAAGATTACAGCCTTGGAAACCCTATGGGGCAGTTCTACTCTGTCCTATAGAGTCGCTATGAGTCAGAATCGACTCGACACCCATGGTTTTTTGGGTTTTTTTTTACATCAACACTGGGCCAACCCATGTATTAAGTTAGACCCAAAGGGGTCCTAGGGGTGTCCTGGACCTTCTGTCAGGTGCGGCAGGAGGAAGTGAGACCACACAAGAAGGCCAAAAACGAATTGAATTTAGTACTCACCACTCCAGATTGAAAACTGCAGCACGCCTTACCCACCGCCACACGGGCTGGCACCCGACAAGCTTGAATCGTAAGAGACGCTGCTGTCAGTCAAGCAGGGTGGGGCTCGGGGTTAGCGCGGTGGTCTAATTAGTTTAAAAGTTCAGCGCATTATCGCGAGAAAAGAGCCAGTTATCGAGGGAGCTACATGGGGCATTGCTGGGCCGGGCAAAGGGTAAGTAGGGCTGTGGAGAGATGGGGTTACGAGGTAATAAGGACTATCTACCCAGGAAGCCATGGGTCGAGGCCAGGAGAGCCAGTTACACCTTCCAACTGCTGAGAGACTGGGTGAAAAGAAAAGAACGGCCATGTAATAAAATGGAAAAAGGGCAAGTAGGAAGAATTAATAGAGGCCAAGCAGAAAATTACATAGGCCACAAATTGGCTTTAAGACACCAGAGAATCCAGGACAATCTCCCCAACTGAAGAATTTCACCTTAATCATTTCTGCAAACTCTCCTTTACCACGTAAAATAACATATTCACGGGTACAGAGGATTCCGATACAGATTTTGGAGGTGCCATTATTCAGACTACCAGATCTTACTGTTAGTTGCCATAGAGATACCTTCAACTCATGGTAGCACCCTGCGTTACAAAATAGAACTGCTCCATGGGGTTTTCTTGGCAGTAATCTAAAAGGAAGCAGATCGCCAGGCTTTTTCTCCCTCAGTACCGCTGGGTGGATTGAACTGCAACATCTAGGTTGGCAGTCAAGTGCAAATCATTTCCGCTACCTAGGGACCTTAACATCACCATTAATATTTAGTAGGAGTAAAATTGCAGCAATAAATAAAAAAGCATTATAAATGAGTTTCTACGGCATTTAGCCTCATGAAAAATGACAGGCACTCCCAGGAAGTCACACACAGGGCAAAGCTTGTTGTCGCCTCAGGGCAGAGCACTCAGTGGAAGGTCACTCCCAGGCCCTCCAGCTCCCAAGTGCACGTCCAAGACTAGGTCAGTGATCGTGGCCATACCCCACACTCCAGCCCAGGATCATACGATAGCTTCATCCTGGGAGAAGAGCCCAAAAAAACCCCAAAACCTTCACCATCGAGTAGCTTTCAACTCATAGTCACCCTATAAGCACAGAGTAGGACTGCCCTACAGGGTTTCCAAGGAATGGATTGCAACTGCTGACCATCTGGTAAACAGCTGAACTCTTAACCACTACGCCACCAGGGCTCTGGGAGAGGAGACCAGCTCAGTCTTAAACTCATGCATACGACGGAGACCTCCTCTGCTTTCTCCTGGCCCATCTGGCCTACGCCCACAGCCTCCAAATCCCCTGATCACAACACAGGAGGTCAGTCCCCCAGATCCTCTCCAAAGCCAAAAACAAGACAGATCGAATACACATTTAGGGAGAAATCACCCTACATGCTACCCACATAACTGGCCTGGCCCAGCACTCAGGCTGCAGCCACTTCCCAGGCCCAAATGTCCAGGACTGTGCATATACGTTAGGGAGGTACAGGGCCCGAGCTAGGACTCAGCCCTCCACACATCCATATTTCCCTTCCTGGTCCTTGACCCTCAGGGATTTTTACATTCTAAGATTATGAGGGAAAATTCATGACATGCCCTGTTTGGCCTGATCCTAGGAGTATCTGGGTCCAGCACCATCTTTAGGCCCAGGGTTTAGGGCCTCTGTCGGGTTAGCAGAGAATGTATTTCAGGATAAGAAGGAGCAGAGTTAGGGATGGGATTCTGGGGTGAATGGGCACCTGCAGGGGCAGAGATGAATAGAAAAAATGTGCAAAACGGATTTGTAAGCAATGTGAGTTTTCCATCATCTTTTTGAAGTTTATTGATATTTGAAATGTTTTACATAAACTACACAAGAAAATATGTGCACATGATAAGAGTATATGTGTATGCATCATGACAGAAGTTGCACACTCCTCATTGCAGCAGCCAGATCAAGAGACAGTCCATGAAGGGCACAATAAAAGACAATATCTGAAGTACTTGGAGTGCTTCATGGGCTTTATGAGTGTACTGTTATTCAGCAGTGTCTCATACTTTTAGAGCGATCCATTCTCTGTGAAAGTCTTGTAACATAGAAAGTGGAAGTATCAGAGAGATATATTGCATAGACTCATTTATAAATCTCCATTCACAAACACCAGGAGAGATGGGGATGCAGGCACTGGTGTGGTACAAGTGTTTCTCTAGTAATTCATAAGGACAGGAGGGATGCCATCGGCAAGCTTGCTTCAGTTCAGTGTCACACGGCCAGTAAACGTTCTGCTATACCTGGAGAGTAGAAAATCCACAGCAAAGTTCAGCTTCCACTGCTTTTCAGTCCTAGGTCCCACACCATTTAGGAAAGAAAAATATGGTAGGGGATAGTGAACCAAAAGTGGATCCAAAGAGCATAGAAAGGAGAAGTTCCAAGTTGAGGGAACAAAGATCTGAGAGAGGAAGCCAGCAATAAGAAATAATAAAGCCTGAGCTGTAGGAACAGCTGAGAGGTCTACTTACAGTATTGCTACATCCTTCTTTGTAGTCTTCCTCAAAGGCTTTTCTCGAGTCTTCATTGACAGTCTCCCAGAATATCATTTCACATTCCGACACAAGTAATATATTATCATTGCCTTAGAAAGAACCTTGAAAAAAGAGATGCTATATTAAAAGGGTGTGGACACACTGTAGTCCATAGGTGTTCACAATCAGTCTCAGGATACCTGAGGCACGTACAGAAGCAGCCAGGACTGCCAGGTCCAAGAATACAGTGTTTTGAGGAAAATTCAATGGGGCAAAGTTCTGGGCTGGGGATCCTGTGTAACCAGGCTCATGAATGGGACCCAATTTGGAGGGATTCACACAAGGGTGAGAAGGCCAATGGGCTGGGGAGGGTCAATTCATCCCACACAAGCATTACTTTCCCAGGTGACAGAGCCTCATAAGACATAGCACATGTTTCCTGTATATTCATAGATTATAGGGTGTAAGGCCCTTTCAAAATCGATGAGAAGAAAGTGGAAGAGTGATACAAGACTGCAGAGCTTCAGTGGGTTGGGGATCCAGGGACTTTTTTTTTTTTTAAATTATTGTTGTAGTTTAAGTGAAAGTTTACAATTCAAATTACTCCCTCATACAAAAATTTATACATACATTGTTATGCGACCCTAACTGCTTTCCCTATACTGTGACAGCACACTCCTCCTTTCCACTCCGGATTTCCCGTGTCCATTCAACTAGCTCCTGACCCTCTCTGCCTTCTCATCTCACCTCCAGACAGGAGCTGCCCATTTAGTCTCATGTATCTACTTGAGCTAAGAGGCACACTCTTCATGAGTATCATTTTAAGTCCCATAGTCCAGTCTAATCTTTGTCTGAAGAGTTGGCCTCGGGAATGGTTTTAGTTCTGGGTTGACAGAGAGTCTGGGGGCCATGCTTTCTGGGGTCCCTCCAGTTTCAGTCAGACTATGAAGTGTGGTCTTTTTACTAGAATTTTAGTTCTGCACCCTACTTTTCTCCTGCTCCATCAGGGAGCTCCAGGGACTTCTTATTCCACCAGGGCTATTGTATTCCTGAGACCCCCCCACCCCCCTCCCTCAGCCACAGCAGGGTCAAGGGGTTGTGGGTTTGTTGGGAGATGGATTCGATGAGGAGTTTATGGACTTACCTTGGTGATGTTAAAGGCATAAAGCCCATGTGCAGTTTCATTACTAAGTCCCATGTAACCAACAAGACACACTATGGATAAAAAATATATATATTCAGGAGAAACCCTGACCTACACATATTTAGGCATTCAAGATTCTAATCATTTACCTCTAGTCAAGCCTCAAAATGACCTTCCATGTCCAGCCTACTTTGTAGGCCAGAAAACGTGGGATATTCACCTAAAGTGAGCATCTCCATGGTGGTGGTCCCTCTCAGGTCTATACAGACTTACCAACATCGTTATTGCAGTAAACCATCTGAAGATGTTCAATACACAGTTACAATATGGTACAGAAAGGGGGACAAACAGTGGCAGGAGCAGAAGTCAGCAGGAATGCTGGCTCCACGCTAGAGACCTGAAGGGCACAGTAGGAGGCGAATCACCACCCACTCATAAGAAACTTACTCTACCCACTAATATCTGAGATAGAGCTGATTTTGTGAAAGCATCTACCTTCCTTGACTTCTGTCGTGTTGGGAGAGGTGAAGTTTCCCCCCAAGAACTCATGGCAGAAAAGGCACTGTGCCCCTAGTACAAATGGTCTGCCTTTACCAGTTTGGAATATGGCGTGCTGAAGGTTCTGCAGGAAGCCAAAGCTCAAGGAGGGGGATACACAGTCCTAACTAGGAGGAGTGGTCTGGGCATCATGGGATTGTGAACCATAACCCTGCTGTTTAACCCTTCTAGAGATGAAGCCCCTGGCCATCTACCAGAGTGGGAAATAGGAAATGGGTGACAGTATCTATAACAGTTTCTTAGTCAGACTTTCAAACCACCATCTTTTCTTAGCTTCACATGAACCCTTCCTTTTAAAGAGAACTTATGCCTCCAATGCCTTTTTTGGGGGTTGGCGGTTTGAAACTGCTCTGCTCCCAGAAGACAGGCCTGGTGATCTGCTTCCAGAAGGTCACAGCATTGAACACCTTATACAGCAATTCTACTGAACACACATGGGATAGCCATGAGTCAGAATTGACTTGATGGCAACTAAAAAGAACAACAATATGCAATGTTAAATAATGCAGATGTACAAAGCGCATGGAAATGGGCCTGGCATACATGAACTACCCATATTGGTGCTATTATTATTTCTATTTCAAAATCATCATTTTTATTTTTTCTTGCTACCTTAACAAAGCATCACAACCTGCACAGCTTAAAAGAACACAAATTGATTATTTTTCATTTTTGATAGAAGTGCATTGCAGGCCTCCACAGTCTCTGTCAACGTATCCACAGGGCTGTGTTCAACTCTGCCAGGTCTAGGGGAGAATCTGTTTCCTTGGTCTTTGAAGCTTCTAACGGACACCATATTCCCTGGCTCTTGGGTCCCTTTGTCTTCAAAGCAAACAATGTACTATCTCTCTCACCCTTCTTCTGTTGTCAAAACAACACAGCCAGGAAAGGTAGTTTGCTTTTAGGATGCATGACATAAAATCCGGCCAATCCCGTCAATGCACAAAAATCACCCCTTCTCAAGGTCCTTAACCTTAATCACATCTGCAAAGTCCCTTCTGCGATATAAGGTAACATATTCACACGTTCTGGGGAAGAGGATATAGACATCTTTTGGTGACATTATTCTAAACTGCACACATGACTATCATTATTTATGAGGTATAAAACTACAGCAGTATTTAACACTGCCTTACAAATGAGATTCTAACCCATTTAAAACTCACAAAAAAATTCTTTAACCAAAGTTTATTAGTGGTTATCAGAGGCAGGAGAGAAGGGAAACGGTGGCGGGGGTGGGGGGGGCTGTTGCTTATAGGGTATTGAGTTTCAGTTTATGGTGATGGAAAAATTGCATTGATTGACAGTAGGGTTGCAGAGCCGATTATTCTAAGTGCTGTCAGTAAGTTGTACACCTGTTAAAAGTTGAATCAGCAAACATGTGACAGACATATTTACAATCATGACAAAAAAAAAAAAAGAGTAGCTGTTGAGGCTGCTTATGTACAACCAAACACCTCATCGGATTTGGTTCTTTGGTTTGGAGGTTTAGGGTCAGGATTTCATGGGGCATCCCAGTTAATTGGCCTAATAACAGTGCTTCTGTTCTACGTCCTAGTTCAGTGCATAGTTCTGGGGTCTTAAAAGTGTGCAAGTGGCCATCCAAGGCACAACAATTGGTCTCTTTTCATCTGGAGCAACAAAGGAAGAAGGAGAGTCAGGAATAGAAAGAAGAAATGGAACGTGTGACAAATTGCCTTCATGAACAACTACCTCTTTTGCCATGAGACCAGAAGAACCGGATGGTGTCCAGCTACCATTACTGAACATTTTGATTATAGAGTCTACAGAAGAATCCTGATCAAAAGGGGGAAAATGCAGAACAGAATTTAAAATTATCATGGACTCTAGAATTTCTGGAGTCATGGAGGATGGATGAACCCCTGAAATTATTGCCCTGAGATAATCTTTAAACCTTAAACCAAAAACATTCCCTGAAGACTTCTTAAAACCAAACAATGGTTTAGCTTAACTAGTAAAACATGTCTGCCTTGAGCATTATGATCTTTTAATAACTATCTATATTGGATCAAATTGACAACAGCAACTAGAAAGATTAGATAGGAACATTAAGAGGCAATATGTTAATGGGGGAGGAACAACTTAGAAAAGGAGGGTGAGAATAGTTGCACAACTCGAAGAATGTAATCAATGCCACTGAATTGTACATGTAGAAACTGTTGAATTGGTGTATGTTTTGATGTGTATCTTGTCAACAACAACAAAATAAATTAAAAAAATTTTAAATTCTGTAAAGTATGCATTGTCATACCCTACTTTAAAAGAACATCAGGATGTTTAAAGTACCATTCACACACCAGGTACACAAGGATGGTTCAACATTAGAAAATCAATCAGTGTAATCCACCACATAAATAAAACAAAAGAAAAGAATTACATGATCATCTTAATCACAGTAGAAAAGGCATTTGATAAAGTCTAACACTCATTCTCATTCATTTGGGGCCCTGGTGGCACAGTGGTTAAGCATTTGGCTGCTAACCAAAAGGCTGGCAGTTTGAATCCACCAGCTGCTCCTTGGAAACCCAATGGGGCAGTTCTATTCTGTCCTATAGGGTCGCTATATGTTGGAATCGACTCAATGGCAGTGGGTTTGGTTTTTATTTTATTTTTTTTGTTTAACACCCATTTCTGATAAAAACCCTCAGTAAGGTAGGAATAAAAGGGAAATTCCTCAGCATAGTAAAGGGCATCTGTACAAAACCAACTGTCAACATCATTCTCAATGGAGACAGGCTGAAAATATTCCTGAGAATGGAAACAAGACAATGATGCCCTTTATCACCACTTCCATTTCATACTGTGCTGGAAGTCCTAGCTAGAGCAATAAGGCAAGAAAAAGAAATAAAGGGCATCCAAATTGGTAAGGAAGAAGTAAGACTATCCCTATTCATGGATGATATGATAGTATACATAGAGAACCCAAATGACTCCACAAGAAAACTGCCAGAACTAACAGATTCAGCAGAGTAGCAGAATACAAGATAAACATTCAAAAACCAGTTGGATTCCTATACACCAATAAGGAGAACTATGAAAAGGAAATCAGAAAAATACCATTTACAATACCAAATCAAAACCAAACCCATTGCCATCGAGTCAATTCCAACTCATAGTGACCTTATAGGACAGAGGAGAACTGCCCCATAGGATTTCCAAGGAGCAGCTGGTGGATTCGAACTGCCAACTTTTTGGTTAGCAGCTACGCTCTTAACCACTGAGCCACCAGGGCTAAATATAAAATACTTAGGAATAAATCTAACCAGGGATGTAAAGGACATATATAAAGAAAACTACAAAACACTACTGCAAGAAACCAAAAGAGACCTACATAAATGGAAAAACATACCATGCTCATGGATAGGCAGACGCAACATTGTGAAAATGTCAATTCTACTCAAAGCAATCTACAAATACAGTGCTATCCCGATCCAAATACCAACAGCATGCTTTACTGAGATGGAAAAACTAATATGGAAAGGAAATATGCCCCAGAGAAGTAAAGCATTATTGAAAAAGAACAAACTAGGAAGCCTCGCACTGCCTGACCTCAGAACCTACCATACAGCCAAGGTAGTCAAAACAGTCTGGTACTGGTACAGCAAAAGACACATTGACCAATGCAACAGCATTGAGAACCCAGGTGTAAATCCATCTACCTATGGCCACCCGATCTTTGACAAAGGGCCAAAGTCCATTAAATGGGGAAAAGACAGTCTTTTTAACAAATGATGCTGGCAAAACTGGATGTCCATTGGTTAAAAAAATGGAACAAGACACATACCTCACACCATACACAAAAACTAATTCAAGATGGATCAAAGGCCTAATTATAAAACCAAAAACTATAAAGATCATGGAAAAAAAATAGGGTCAACAATAGGGGCCTTAATATACAGCATAGACAGGATACAAACTATAATTAACAATACACAAACACCAGAAGATAAGCTAGATACCTGGGATCTTCTAAAAATTAAACACTTACGTTCATCAAAAGACTTCACCAAAAGAGTAAAAAGAGAACCTACAGACTGGGAAAAAATTTTTGGCTATGACACATCCAACAAAGGTCTAATCTCTAAAATCTATAGGAAAACCCAACACCTCCACAATAAAAAGACAAATAATCTAATTAAAAAATGGGCAAAGGAAAAAGACCCATACCTCACACCACGCACAAAAACTAACTCAAAATGGATCAAAGACCTAAATATAAAATTGAAAACAACAAAGATCATGGAAGAAAAAATAGAGACCACGTTAGGGGCCCTAATACATGTCATAAACAGAATACAAACCCTAAGTAACCATCTACAAACACCAGAAAAGAAACTAGATAACTGGGAGCTCCTAAAAATCAAACACTTATGCTTATCAAAAGAATTTACCAAAAGAGTAAAAAGACAACCTACAGACTGGGAAAAAAATTTTGGCTATGACAAATCCAATCAGCGTCTAATCTCTAAAATCTACATGATACTGCAAAACC